TGCTGGGGAGCCAAATTTGTCGATGGCTTTGGGCGGGACACCCCAGGCGACTGCAGCGGTCTGCAGTGTCTGTTCTTGTGAGTTGCTGAGTGAAGGAAATTCCGAAGCAACAATGTCAAGGTACTTTTTTACCTGTGTTTTTTGTTTGTCGCTGATGCCTTTGATGGCACCAAACCATCTGGTGATGCCGGATTCAGAGTGAACACCAGTGAAATGATCCTGAAACCAAACACTGGCTTTTGTAGGCTGCTGAAAGATGCGCTGGGGATCCATCTTGGGATCGAGGGGTGCCGCCTTCGTTGGTGTGAGAGTTGACTGCTTCTGTCGCTTGGCGCCCAGAAGGGATCGTCCCGGAAAATGCATACCTGTGGTGGATGACGATGCTGGGGAAGCATGTAACGCGTTGGTATCTTGTTCTGCAACTGTTGTTGTGGAAAGGGAGAGGCTACCAGTGGTAAGTCTGGTGTCGTTGTGTGTAGCGTCATCTATGGTAGCTCGTTTCTGTCCACGAGTGGTTGTGGTGGGGGAAATCTCAATTGTGGAAATTGAGTCGGGTGGTGGAGAGGGCGTGTTGATAGGAGTGCTAGGTGCTGTGGCTCGTTTTGGTTTCTTTGGTGCTGGTGTGCTGGGTGCCTCAGTGTTTGCATCCGGAGCACGGAGAGCTTCGATTGTCTCCAGTGCTGTTGAAAGTCGTGCTTCCAGGTCACTGATACGGTGTGCAGCCAGAGTGTCTGCTTCTGTCGGCTGCGGAGATTGAAGTGGTAGATGAGGTTGTGATTTGCTGGATTGTGGTGGTGTTGGAGATTCGGTGGGTTGCGATTGTGTGTTGTCTGTGTCTGACTTGGCATCTTGCTTGTCCTTTTTGTTGCCGTCATTGTACTGGTCCTGCAGCTCTTGCAGGTATAACACCAATTCCTTGATGAGGTGTGACATTGCTGGCCGTTTTGCGAGTGTGAGCTTCTCTTGCCAGCAGAATGCGGTGGCTGCTTGGTCCAGATCAATTCTCCGTGCTCGGAGTTGACCCATAAGTTCAGTGGTAAAGACGGCTTCGCTGATATGTTTGCTGCATGTGAGATGGATGTCGAAGCCGTGTGCGGCGTAACGTAGCCAGTATGATGACCAATTGTGTCTTAGAAATGCGACCAATGGTGCTGTTGCGATCGGCATGCCTGCCGTGCGGTTGTGCACTGAATGTGGTGTAGATTGAATGTGTTTGGGTAGGTTGAGGCCGTAAAGCTGTCTGTTGTCCCAATGCTCTGGTGTTTGAACGAAGTCGTTTGGTATCTGGGGATTTGCAGGCGTGAGATTGGTGTGTTGTTGTTGTTGGGGTGTGACGGTGGCCTGAGGCAATGTATGTGAAGAAATGCTGGGGTTTTGAGTCGTCATCGGAGATGGACTCACAAATGTGTGTTGGGGAGTGGCAGGTGTGGGTGTTGGCAGTGTGGTGGGTGAAGCTGGGACGGTAAACTGCTGGGGTGGGGGAGGGGGTGGAGGGAAAGGGGGGAAAGTGGTGTTGTGGCTGTAAGGGTGAGCTGAACCCCAAGTAGTTGGGGTCATGGGTGGGGTGTGGGGTGGGATGTTGTGGATCCCTGGTGGTGGGGAAATCGGGTGCATTGGGGTGCTGCTGGTTGAGGCTGTTTGTCGCTGCACCGCACTGATTGCTGTACCGATGATGCCTGTTGGCATTGTTGTATGCCACTGAGGCTGTGTCGGCTTGTACATGGTTGCAAAATGGGGCACTACAATTGCCTGTGACTGCAAAAGCTGCAAATAGCACGTGCATGGACAACATAGTTGGCTTGAGTGTCAGCATCTACTTGTGCAATGCATCCAGCATGCAGCTGCATCGTCTCTTCTTTGGCTCAAAAGCGGGGTCGGAGCAAATGCTTGATTGCATACAGCTATGTGCAACGGGATTCAGGCCTGGAAGAGAAAGGATACTCGAGAGTGAAAGGTAGAAACGGAAGAAGAAAGAAAGTAATACAGAACATCACTGAATAAGGCCGAATCCAACGATGCTGAAATGCCCCGAGTGGAATCCCCACTTCTCTGGGGTCCGCACAACACCCTTTCGCCCCACGATGAAGGCCTCTCTATACATGTCCCGATACGTCATCTTGTAATGCTGATACTTAGTCCGTATTGTCCCGATGACGATCACTCCCTGTTGGCCCTTCGGCCGCCGTGTACATTGATCGGTTACTATATGTACCGTGCTTTCCGATACATCTCCTGGGGTCGCATTCCCGTATATGACGCAAGAGGGAATGGGTGGGTAGGACTTGTCGTCGAAGCAGTGTCTGACTGAACTTGGGCGGACCAAGTCCTCGCGCATAATGCGCGCGGCACTTGCAATGCTCGTGCCGTGTCCGGCGGTGTAGATGTATGTCTCTCCTGGTGGGTCAGTGGCACGGGTGCCGAACGCTCTGCGCTGCTCTCCAGCCCAAGGAATGAATAACATAGTATGCACGCCGTCCGATATTGGCGTCAGCACTGCCCCAAGTTCGTTGCACGCTGATCGCGTGCCTGATTGTAGCACTGCATGTGCAAATTCGGCTAAAGTCTCCTGCCTGAAATCGCTGTCAGCAGCTATCTCGCCCAAAGTTTTGGCGAGTTTGTGTGCTTCTTCCATGTCGACGGCGTGAGGGGTCGGCTTCTCATGTTCGTAAAGCTCAGAAAATGGCGCCACATCAATCTGTGGTGGTCTGCTCTGTTTGCCCAGTTGTTCGAGGGTTGGCTGACCCGATGGGGCAACGGCTGTTGATGCATCGTAGGTCGGGGCAGGTGTCCGAACGGAGCTGGAGGGATTGTGCTGAGCCTGTTGGCGGGAGGAGGTGCCCTGTCCGGCTGGGGGCTGCTGTTGTGCTGCTTGGCTGCCCTTGATGCGGAGGGCGATTCGTTGAACCTGCGAGGCCAATGTCCTTTGTGGGACCTTGGGTGGGGTGGGTGGCCTCTGACGTAGCTGTGTGGCTCTGTAATGCCACTTGTTGGTATCAACATCACGCACTGTAGAATAGCTGCGGAGCACAACCGAGGTCCGCGGAGGTGTCGACGAAGATCGCCTGGTGTCCCTGCGAGAACGACTTCTGCGGGTGTCGCGGGATCGGTGGTGTCTGCGTCGGCGGTGCTGTCTCCCGCTGCTGGCAGGTCGTGCTCTGCTGCGTGTGCGTCGTCGGCGTCTAGTGCTCACGGTGCGGGTTCTGCTGCGTGTGGGTGAGTGCCGTCTCCTGCGTGGCAACGGAGGATGGTGGGAAGAAGCACGTGCTGCGAGCGGGTCAGTGTCTCCCGATCCCGTAGCGGGTGGTGGTTGTGTGGGTGGTAATGTGCTGACAGAGGGTGTGTTGGCTGTGCTTATTGGCTGGGGTTGGGGGGTGATTGCCGGTGTCTGTGGGGCAATGTGTGCAGCATCGGTAGTGGTAACATTGGTGGGGTGAGATTGTGAAGCTTGTTGGAGGGTCGTTGGCTGCGGTATATGGGATTGTTGAGCGGGTTGTGTGGAAGGGATGCTGCAAGGTGCAGGTTGGGGTTGTGGAGCAGGTGGTGTGAAAGGAATGTTGTATGTGGCAGGCTGGGAGTGATGCGGTGTCAGAGGTGATGGGCTCGTGGGAAAAACTGTTGTATGGGTAGGCAAAGGACCAGGGTTCAAGAAAGTGGGGGGATGTTGCGACATGAATTGCTGGGGTGGAGGTTGTTGTGGCATCTGGGGCTGTGGTGTGCTGAGTTGTGTGTATACCATCGGATGCTGTGGTATAGGAGCAGTGTGTCCACATGGCATCATGGGGAAGCTGTGTGTCTGCTCAACGGGGATCGTAGTGGGTTGCGTCGGCAGTGTGTGCTGCTGAGTGGCAGCAATGCCAGTTGGCATCATTGCTGGGTATCCTTGTGACTGCGGTACCCAGGTGTTCGGGTGAAACTGATTGAGCACCGGTCGGGTTGTTGGTGCGTATGGTGTTGCTGGTGGCTGCGTGGTAAAATAATCCGGCCACATAGCTGCAACGAAGTTGGTGAAACAAACACAGTTGCACAAGCAAAGTGCAGGCTGTCCTGGTTGTCCCTGCTGGACGGACTTGAGATGTCGAAGACGGAGATAAAGAAAGAAGAAGGCCGATTACTTCCCGGAGGAAGCGCTGCTTCACTTGCGTTAGACACATGTTACCACGCCTGCCCTCATGTCAGTTGCACATGCCCTTGCAGTCCCTGAGAAATAAAGAAGCGGTCGAATAGAGGACAGACTAGCGAGGTAGCACCTGCTCACTAGACGCACTTTACTGCATTAGCCGTCCATTACTGCACCTGCACTCATGTCAGACGCACATGCGAGCATCAGAGAGAGAGAGATAAAATAGCATCGGGAGAATCTGAACGATCTGAACGAAGGCTGAACACCCGGTTCATCACCGGTCTCCCCGGAGGGTCACCACGGCGCCATGACGGAAAGCCGTTGCTCTGGAGTCTCAACGACCCACGCTGATCACACTGATGGATTCGGCCAAGAGTACGAGTGCAAAGGACAAAAAGAGGAATGTTGTTCATGTTGCAACTGTTTGTCAGATTGCGGCAATCGTACAAATTGTTTGTCTAATCTGGACACCAAAGGGGGCCTGTCCTCAGACTAATCTTGGCACCACAGGGGGCTGCCGGAAATTGTGCAGGTACATGACTGAGCGTCCTCAATCACTTCCCTTCCAGTGACCTAGCTTCGTTGGATCAGGTCAGTCACTGGAAGCCTGATCCCCCTGCAACAGTTGATTTGGTAAATGTCCAATGTCGGATTATGTTGAAAAGCGAAATTGCAAACAGTGTAGGAGTGACCCTCTGCTCCCATGTGCTAGGGAGGTTCACACACACACACACACACACACGCGCACATTGACAGACTTGCATAACCGCGCAGTTGAACGCTAAAGTCTAAGTCTAACGCTACACTCCTTTCGATGAGAACTTGGATCGCGGGCCAGTCAACCACATGTCGTTGCTCTGCTGTCTGTCAGACAAGGCTCATTATCCGCACCAACCGGAGAGCGGTGGTCGAGGCCTGAGTCGCTAGGATCCCCTTAGAGGAACCCTTAAAGGAACCCTTATAGATCCCTTTAAAGGAACCCTAAGGCCCTAAACCCCTAAATCCCAAACTCAGGGTTCAGGGCTTTGGGTTTAGGGCTTGCTGAGTCAAGCGAGCAGATGCGCGTCACTGGCTGGCCGAGCAGCTGGATTAGTCTGAAAGCCTGCCATCGCAGAGTAGGCGAGCTCAAAGACGGAGCTCACCACTACGAAGATATCCAACCTGAGAGACTTGAGTGCACTGACGGGCTTCTCGTATCCTCTCTCGCCCAGAATGGTTCGACGCCCTCTGAGGCCGTGGGTTTATTTGCCAATCCCAGCGGCAGATTCCAAAGCCACGGCCGCGAGCAAAAAAAGGTCCTGACCCCATCGGCGCAGAGCCGGAGAACCACCTCCACAAAGAAGAGGCTCGCATAGGTCACCTGATAGCCAACTCTAAGTCTCTCATCGCGCCAGATGTCCACAGGTTCTCTTCACAGTTGAGGTATGGACCCAAAGATTCCCACAAAGACGACCTTCAAGAAAACTCCGTGATCACCCCAAGAAGTCCAGAAGATGCAACATGAGAGGCTGTGGAACCCTGAACCCGGAAAAAGCGAACCTAGGCACTCAACAACATAGTCTGTCCGGTGCTTAGTAGGCAACGGGGGAATGGATCCCTGGGGTAGTCCCCTATATAGTCTCCAATAGTAGTCCACATAACCCCTTCCCCCATTCCCTACTAAGAACCAGACAAGACAGTAGACCCTAAATCCTGTAGATCCCTTAAAGGAACCATTTTAGTACCCTTTAAAGGAACCCTACGAACCGTGGTCTGGCGGGTGCCTCAAGCTGCCGTCTAGAGTGAAGACCTTTTCTGCTCGAACTGCGCTCATGCAGGGGCCCTAACAGCTAGAACAGACTTTTGGGGGCTTCCTTATTATGATTATAGCATAATATATCCCTAGAACAGATTTTTGGGGGTTCCTTATTATGATTATAGCATAAAAAAATCCCCAAACCCTATGCGAATTATTGCGGCCCCTGTGTTACAAAAGCACTGGTGCCTGCAGCACCGTGAAGACGGCGGGAACCCCGTGGACGAAGTGTTCCGCCATCCAGGCCGTCTGCACGCCCAAGACCATGGTGTTAGAAACCTGGGCACAAAGGTATAGGGCTTATAGGGTTAGGGGTTTAGGGTTTAGGGGTTTAGGGTTTAAGGGTTTAGAGTTTATAGGGCTTATAGGGTTTAGGGCACACCCGACACCATGGTGTTAGAACCCTGGGTCCGCAATTGCAGGGACCCAAGAGCCCCTGACTGCCCTCAAGGCATCTCCAAACTCCCAGAAGTAAACAGGTGGGCTTTGTGCGGCAACAACCATGCATATCGAAGTGAGGAAGGCCGGATGCTCCTCAAAACCAACAGCGATCAGTTAGGGGGGGATGTCTGAATTGGGAGGGGCGATTCTGCACACTGCCGAAACCCGCACTCTCAACAAAAGGCATTCCAAGGAACGATCACTACAGCAAAGAAGGCTTCGAAACCCCAGGAGTGGACGAACTGCTGGACTTTGGTCTCCGGCGGATGGTGCGACGGTGGCCTGTGCCTGTCGTCCCGGTCAGCCAATTCTTCAGTACTGTCCGATATGTGCGTTGGTTGTTGGGATGCAGAGTTTCAGCTATCCATTTTCACTTCAGATGCGCAGGCTCCTCTGACCTGATGCTGCGCAACAAGAAATCAAAAGTAAGGCCGAACTGTCTGGATGCTGCGCTTTCTCCGCCGGGCGGTTGTTATCCGCTGGCTTGTTGCCCTGCCTCGGCAAGGGATCTTGCTCAAACCCCCCACACCTGCAGTGAGCACCTGACACTACAAACCTCTATCTAATTACTGCATGAACGAATGAATTGATTAAGCAATTGGTGGATGAATGAACTACTGAATTAACGAAGTCCTTGAATATTTTAATTGCAACATGACGTACTTATGTGATTGCTTAATTATCTGATTGGATAATCTATTAACGAATTCTCTTCAACTAGCTGATTAATGATTTAACCTGAAATAACTGCTCAGTTTGACTAAACTACTGAAGTAAATAAGTAACGAACTAAGTAATTCATGATACAGCTGGTTGTTAATTAAACAATTCACTGGCCAAGAATTCAACAACGAAATCATCAAGTAGTTACTCAGCTCATTGGTCAGATAATGGCCTACTTAACTGATACAACGATGAGTAGGCAAGCAAGTCGGTAAGCAAGCAAGCAAGCAAGCAAAGCAAGCACCACGTGTACAGATGTATATGTATGTGTATACTTGCACTTATGGCTATATTCAGTTTTATCTGCCGTTTCACTCTTACGTTTGAAGTTTCGTGCAAACTCGGTTCTGATGGGTTTCTTCGTTTTTGCCGTTGTTTCATTTCACATGCACAAAAACTGCGTGTGCGTGTATATATATATATATATAGATACATATACGCAATATACAAAAACATCTAGTATAAGCATACATATATACTGCATGTATACTTTGCATATACATGTGTATATATATATATATATATACATATATATATATATATATGTGTGTGGTGTACATTGCACGGCTATGCATAAGTCTATCAATTAGGGTCGTTTTTGGGTCCCTTAAAATAGCACGGAACCCTTATAGATCCTCTATCAGCCCTAAAGCTAAACCCAAAAAAACCCTAAACCCTAAACTAAACCCTTAGACCCCTAAAATTCCTATGTAAACCCTAAAACCCCTAAACCCTAAACCCTTAGACCCCAAAAAGGGCCTCTGAATTTTGAGAACTGTCAAGGCTGAGGGTCCGCTTGACTCGGCGACTGCCGGGTTTGGGCTCGTAGGAGAGCTCCTGGGAGCTTCTTAGGGGCCTGTAGGGTTCTATAGGGTTATAGGGGTTTACGGTTTAGGGGTCATAGGGGTTTAGGGGTTATAGGGGTTTAGGGGTTTAGGGTTTAGGGGTCATAGGGGTTTAGGGTTTAGGGGTTTAGGGTTTAGGGGTCATAGGGGTTATAGGGGTTTAGGGTTTAGGGGTTTAGGGAGTGGGGTGCCTGCAGCTTGAGTCCCATAGTCTTGAATGCCTCACCACTTCTTCAAGAAGGGGAGTCAGCAATCAGAGAATGCTCGCAAGAGGAATGGTCGCGAGAATATGAGAAAGGAGTCAAGGAGGTCCTTAGCCTTGGCATCGCGAAACGGCTCGAACCCTGAAGGCCTCAATGGACTGGAGGGAGTGAAGGGACATGCTTTGGCACCTTCGGCGCTATGTCCGGCTCCGATCTAGGCTGTGTCTGTGTCACGGCATTGGGGCTGGGGAGAAACCTTTTTGTGCTTCAACCCTAAATACCATCCCAAAACCTTGAACCTTCCAAACTCTCCTTCGCCAGCTCGTAGGAATCGCCTCCCTCCTCGCAAAACTTGGAAGAGTTGCTTTCAGCCTACGTTGTGGGATGCGCGGAGTGCCCATGGCTACCTCGACCTCAAGATAAATATTACATGCATGTATGTATGTATGTATGTATGTGTGTGTGTATGTATGTATGTATGTGTGTATGTGTGTCTGTCTGGATTTATGTATGTGGGTGTATGTGCATGTGTGTGTGTGTGTGGGTGTGTGTACGTGTGTGTGTGTGTGTGTGTGTGTGTACGTGTGTGTGTGTGTGTAGATGTGTATGTGTGTGAATGTGTGAATGTGTAAATGTGTGAATGTGTGAATGTGTATGCGTGTATGCATGCATGCGTGGAACAAGTATGAATGAATGAACGTATGGATGCATGTATGTATGTGTGTGTAAACACCAGATATTTTTGGCTTCATACAGCCATTCGCCTGTACATACACATATTAGCATAGTCCTAGTAGTATGCATATATATATATATATATATATCTAAGCGTCTCCATAAGGAACCCGCGGTTGTAGTGTTTTTTACACCCCAAGGCCTGGTTTCAGGTGACTGCGCCTCTAAGCGTTTTCTTGGTTTCGACCTGGCGGTCCCGGGGGGGGGTGGGGGGCAATTACGTACATTGGAAGCGCGTCACAAAGTCACTGCCAAGCCTAAGCCCCAAACACGTCCTTGCTCTAGAGTCCCAAACCCCTAAACGCCTCCAAACCCCAAGCCCCTGAAGGCCTCGAAACCCGAAGCCCTTAAAGGCCTCGAAACCCCAAACTTGCCTCGCCCAAAGACTTTCATATCGGTTTAGGGTTTTGGGTTTAGAGTTCAGGCTCTAGGGTTTACGCTGCGAATAGCATGACCCCTGCGCAAGGAACGATGCAAAGAAGAGTAGCATGGCACATGCCAGCTCAGGTGCACACGCACAAAACGAGAAGTGTGCCGGATGGTTGCCATAAGAGCTCATGAGACAAACGGGCCCAATCACGCTAGGTTTTTCTCTCTTATCGACGGGCAACTAACTTTCGACGCAGGAAAACAGTCCGAAATACTGCGCCTGCCAGCAACTTTAGCGGGTGCGCTGTGGAAGCGCTAGGATATATATATATATATATATATATATGTGTGTGTGTGTGTGTGCAAGTGTGTATTTATGCACGTAAGCATGTATGCATGTGTGTGTGTGTATGTATGTATGCACACATCTATGTATGTGTAGATATATATATATATATATATATATATATATATATATATATATGAATAAGCATCATAATGTGTATATACATGTACATACATATATATATACACACACACATACATGCAAATGCAAACACAAACACGGATACATATTCGTACACGTATACATATACGTGTACCTACATATGTACACATATACATACGCATACAGGTACACGTACACGTACACATACATATACAATTATGTGTATATATATATATATATATATATATATATATATATATATATTTATTTATATTTATATTTATATCTATATTTATATTTATATTTATATTTATATTTATATTTATATATATATATATATATACATTGCTTATTTATTTCTACATAGAGAGAGAGAGGTACTCGAAAGGCATGGGAGTGGGTGGCTCTGCATTGGTTGCACAAAGCTCTGCGCCATCCTGTCGAAGAGCTCCGACGAGTTGTCGCGAGTGGAGGGCCCTTCCGCCAAGCGACTGTTTCGCCACCATGGGGATCCTCAGAGAAACTCCCCAAGAGATCTCAAAGCACTAAGCATATTGGGGCATTCTTGCCCTCAATCAATGTGTTTAGGGATCCTCACAGAAACTCCCTAAGAGATCTCAAAGCCGAAAAATGACTCTGAACTCTCAGCATCCAGCAACCCCCGGTTGCTTCACCCCTCAGCAAGAAACAGCTTTGCCTAGGCAGCTCCGGACGAACTCAGGTCAAGTTTCGGATGCGATCTCTCGGCCGCACTGTCTTCAAGGAGCCTGGGCTTGTCTTTTCGAAGGGTTCGTTCTTGTTACCCAGCTGTAGACGACGGCTTCCCGTGTTCAGGCAACTAGCCAAGTCACCTTTCCTGCTGTCGGAACAAGTCATCCAGACGGGTCATGATCTCCCGGTGCCGGATCTCGAAAATGCCCTGCACAGGGAAGCCAGCTGCCCAAGGCACAGCAGTTGACTGAAACGTCACTGAAAACACCACCATGCACCTGGATCCTGCCTCGGAGTCATCGCCCTGCGCATCGACCTGAGCGCATGCTCAGGAAGGAATTCCAGGGCCAAGTGCGTCACGGCTCGAGTCAGTCGTAATTTGCTTCTTGCTGTTCGAGTTGGATGCCCCTCTTTGACAACAAACATGGTTCTGACCTCGATGCATCGTAACCATGTTCTTTTGTTGGTATGCAGACTAGCCCCGTCTTTCCTGTTGTCATGCTTGTTGCCCTTCTTCGGTCATCACTGGTATCATCACAGAACCTGGGTTCCAACGATTTAGAGTACTGCTATTGCTGTCGGCGTATACGTTTATGCCACTACGCAGAATCTTACTAGAAGGGCCAGCGAACTGGGTAACACCGCCTGCGGCGACAGGCACTCCCACACTTATGGCCTCTGACCAAAAGTATGTTTTCCCTAGAAACAACTGGCTTTTTAAAACTGACAGGTTTGTGGCGCAGACAACGAAGTTCTCGGAGATCTCTGTGCTCAGATGTTTTAAAATTAGAGATACTGTAGTTCTCTGCCAAAAAGGCTGTGCAGTCTTGCATGGTTTAATACTGGAATGACGTTGGCACAGCTTCGACCTTTTATGGTTGTGAAATTCCGGTTCTGGGTTTCCGGTTGCGTGCATCTCGGATAAGTCGAGACAGAATAATTTGGCCTGTTGTAATTCGAACTTGCTTGATTAAGCCCAAAGCTCGCAGGCAAGTAAGTCTGGGTAAAACTTTTCGTGCTATGCGCCATGGCTCCGTTTTACTCATTAGTCATGGGTTTTTGCGGAAAGTGTGGCGATGCTGAAAGGTCGTGCGAGTGCTTGCATTCTTTTCGGAGTTTCGTCTGGAGCAAACATTTTTTTGAATATAATTATATACATATATATATAGATATGTATACATGAGTATGTATACATATATACATATACATATATGGGATCTCAAATACTTCCCTCTCTGGCGAAAGCCATCACATGGACATGGCATCATTAGTAGTCGTAACAGTAGTAATAACAAATAAGAATGCTACGAAGATCTTTTCGGAGCTTCGTATTCAGCCCTCCCGAACAGGTCCAAAGAAACAAAATCATCATCGTCAACATCCTAAGATGATCCGTACCTTTCCGCCTGGCTCAGGCAGCAGCAGCTCTACTCTTGCCGGAAGACTAAACCGCAAAGGATAAGGAAAGCTTAGAATCTCAGAAGCCGCAGGTGGGCCTCTGCAGGGGACAGGCTCCGGGATAAAAAAACTAGACCCAAGCCCCCCCCCCCCCTCCGGCCCCCAAAACAATCCTGAAAGCAAGCAAAACCCCAGGACGTCCGTTGTGTCCGATGTTGTGTTCATCCGACTCGGAGCTCTCTGAAAGCTTGTGGTGATTTTTTGAGACAGTGGATCACCTACGGAACCAACACCCTTCCCAAAGACGGCACCTGTCTCTGACAAGGAAGAACTTATGGCAACTTGCAGTTCGACTTCCGAGATTCGAGGCGCCGCGCCCTCTGCTGGGGGCTCGGGGCTTTGCTTGGGTAGCTGCTGTCATCGAGGGTCTGTAGGGTTCATCGTCTAAGGTTTAGGCGGCCCCCTCTTCTCCCTGCGGTTTAGGGTTTAGGGTTTAGGGTTTAGGGTTTAGATGGGTGTTTAGACGCGGATTCAGCGTTTGCGCTCAGGGCTCAGCGTCTTTACATCATGGTTTATCGGAGCTTAGGATGTATTGCACCCCAAACCCTAAACCCCTAAACCCGGCCAGTGGGAGATAAAGTTCATAATAGCAATATTCATAATAGCAATATTAATAATTTAACAGTTATAGTACTAATCATGCCAATACTAACAATTTAAAGGTTATTGTAATAATAATACATACTAATACTAATCATACCAATATTAACAATAATCCCGAGGTCCGAGCCACCTTCTGCCCGTTCAGCGCGCTCGGGACTGCCATTCACAGAGACGAACGTCGCGCCAAATCGCTGGCACCGGGTGGATGTTAAAACTCGAAACTTCTCGAAACCAGCAGATGTTCTAAAGAACCGCAGATCGTCAACATGATACAACGGCAAACCGGCAGTCGTAGCATGAGTTTCGCCAAGCTTCTGTCTTACCAGGGCTTTCCGTTCACTCTCACAGATGTGCTGGCTTGAATCTGGTTGTTTAGCATTTTGGCGATGCTTTCGCAACGATGGGAGCTAACCATGTCATTTGTCTACGGCGGCAAAGGCCTGAGCCAAGATTCCCAGCAGAGTCACAGGACCTTTATGACCAGCCAGTCCTGCCGCCACAGTGCTGCAAGTGGGCAACACCGGCAACCCCTAAGCCTCACTGGAGTCTCTAATAGTAATAACAATTTGAAGATTAACATTCATCATAACAATATTCAACATAGCAATATTCATAATAGTAAGATCAATAACTTAACAGATATAGCAATATTAATACTAATCATATCAATATTAAAGAAACCGCGCCGTGAATGCTGACTCGGCGCAGGCTCGCACCCTCATGGAGTCGCCGGGGTCGAAATGGCAGCCACTCGATGCCCTCTTTGAAAAAGGACAGGTTTAGGGGTTTAGGGGTTTAGGGGTTTAGGTGTTTAGGGTTTAGGGTTTAGTGGTTTAGGTGTTTAGGGTTTAGGGTTTAGGGCCAGTTTAGGGGTTTAGGGTTTAGGGGTTTAGGGCCAGTTTAGGGTTTAGGGGCCTTATTAATTAGAAGAGGGCTCCTTTTAAGGGTTCCTTGAAAAGGGGTATATAAGGGTTACTATTTGGGGTCTTTGATACTGGGGCCTTAAACTCAATAATCAGAACAGGGTTCCTTGAAAGGGCTCTATAAGGGATCTATAACGGATGATTAGAATATGGTTTGGGGCCGATTATACTATGGCTATAATAAGGAACCCCCAAAATAGTATAGGGAATTATTCAGGCCCATATATTAGATCGTTGCTTGCATGCTTGAGCCCGAGGCTGTTAGCAGCGTGCGAGTTCAGCTTGGCACCTTCTACCAAGACGATCCCCTGCGACCAGCTGCATTCGGGCGTGGCAAGCGGGCCGGCCGGCACTGCCAAGAGACTGGGTGCCCCGAACCCCGACGGAAGACTGGCGCAGCTCGACTCTGCACCTCAAGCTCCAGCTGAATCTTTCCGAACTTGGAGGTTCATGGGTAGGTAGAAGTAGGGTTATATAAGCAGGGTAACTATTCTTGTAACCCATATTAGAGGACTCATAACACTACTTATAACTACCCAGGAACCTCCAAGAAGTCAAAGTAGCACCCAGAGCTCCGAGGCGCCAGCGAGATTTTCCAAGCTTTGCGTCCGCTGCCTGCGAGAGAAGAGGTTGTGCCTGCAGAATCCGGCTGAGCTTTCTGAAATCATGGGAATTACTTACCTTTCTAGTAGGGAATGGAAGCATGGTAGCCGTAGTAGTTAATCTGTACCCCATTCCTCCATTCCCTACTAACCAAAGGTAAGTGAATCCGGCTGAGCTTTCTGTAATCATGGAATTAAGGATCTGGCTGCTCCTAATGCCACCGACAGAATCACAAGACGACTCTAAGCTGCTGCAACGGCTACGATTCCGAAAGAACCTGCACAGAGCATTCGCAGCTTGCAAAGCTGAGTCCCGGCACCATACACAACCAGTCCTGGAGCGAGAGAACAAGATGCAGCCGAGAGAGATAAGGGCAGATTGTAGTCGAAATACCCCGGCCGCGTCCGAGACCCAAATCCCTACTATACTCCGTTGGCTTGCGATTCAACATTCGCACATGTTTGCAGCAAGCAAGTTAGCTCCCAAAAAACGGTTTCGAACAGGACTCGACATCCCCGGATACATGCCGTTGCTGGGTCCAGGTGGCCCAAGCAGCACGCAGCTGCCGAAGGCCCGTGCGTCGACCCTGGGCTCCGAGGGATTTGGATGCAGGGGTTCGGGGTTGGGATTTTTGCCTCAAACCGGTCCGTTCCTCTCAGCCGTAGCCGCTGTCGGAATTCTTCAGGGTTTCCGGTTCATGTATCTTTTCTGGTTTGCTGCTGGGATTACTGCAGCCATCAAAAGTGCTACTACGATTGCAATTGCAACTACTGTCCCTCGAATACTTATGATAGTGATGATGAATGCTATGATTCGCTGTTGCTCGTGGCATTGCTGTCAGAGTCGTTACACGTGACATCCACTCTGGCCGCTGCTACTGTTATGTTTATTAGTATCATTATTCCGCTGTAAACCTTTGCTCATCGCTCATGACCATTACTCCTCCGGCCGCTGCTGCTGCTGCTACAGTACTGCTCGTGTGACACTACTACTCGGAATGATGGGTGCAAGCACTTCTGTGAGTATGTTTACTGCAGGTGGTCACAGTTGAAGCACTCTTCTCTGGTGAACTGCATGCCGCTGCCGTTACTGCTGTCATTTCTATCTCTAACACCGTGTAACATCATTCTGCGACTCCCCACGTCCATGATGAGAACTGCATTCGTACTAATCCTCTTGTCACGATGACCATGCTTCCTGATGTGGTCATCGTCGTCACCATCACGATCAGCAGCAGCAGCAGATTTCCTCAACAATCATCATCGTCATTTCCACTGGCCGGTGTTACTTGTACCACTGCTGCATACTGCATATTGATATGTCTAGTTTCTTAAAACCATGTTCACGGGTATCATGATTGTGAGAAGTAGCAGTGATCGACTCCGTTGTTGGACGACGAAGACGCAGAGTTGAAAAGAAGCTGCAGCAAAGCCTCTGAGAATTTTGCACAAGACTGAGCCTTCAAGAATTCATTGTTTTCTGTACATCTCCACCCACGACTATACAAGGTGGTCCCTTCCCGTGCGGGCGTGACAGCCAGATCCCCTGGGTGCGGACAGATCCGAGTCAGGCGAGCCAAGGTTCAGGGTTTAGGGTTCAGGGTTTAGGGTTTAGGGGTGACTAGCTTGGCCCAATTTTGAGAGCCTGGAAAGCCATTCAAGCTGTGGCTAGCCTGCTTCGTCCGTGTCCTGGCACACTACTGGCCACCCGGGCGACGGCGACCTGCTGTACACGGGAGGCTTGGCTCTGTTTCTGCTGAAATTTCCCATCAAGCCGCAGGGCTCCTTGGAGATACCATCTCAAGGCATATTACTTGGAGGTTCACGGGTAGTTATAAGTAGGGCTATAAGTCCCCTAAAACGGGTTATAAGTATAGTTACCCTACATATTACCCTACTTGTAACTACCCATCAACCTCCAAGTACACGGTGGGCAGCAAGGGATGGCGTCTCTGAGCTGTCCTGCGGGACCCACATGCACTGGAAAAGCTTGTGGGGCCGCGGTGTGGCGCAGGGGGAAAATGCAGCAGCTGTGCGCCAGTTTGTGTCAAAATCGTAGCCGTGAGCATTCAAATTTGCCTGAGGTCGCGACGGGGACAGCACATGCCGCCTACAGACAGCACTGCCCGCTGTATCTACGTGCGTACGTATGCAGGTAGGTATGTATGTACGTACATACCTTTTCAACAATATGTCCGGACAGACAGACAGACAGAGACAGACCGGCAGACAGACATGTGACACAGAGACACACAGACCTGACTTCATACTGCTCTGCATGTGTCTGCATGCATGTAAACGCAAGTACGGTCTTCTATGCTGAATGGACCTTTGCAGAGACACTCGAATCTGAAGTGGCGCCAAGTCGCGCGAACAAAAGATGCAGCGTCTGAGCTCATCAGAACTTTCCGTCGCTTCAGCGGCCGTTGCCTCAGGCTCGGGCATGTGAGACCCTACCACGTCCTAGGGGACGGGCTCCTTCACTTCTGCTTTGCAGCTCGGCTGCACTGAGACGGGGCCGCTCCAGCCGAACAAGTGCCTGCGGTGCAGCAGCCGCTGGCACAGTCACCTTAGCTTCCGTAGCTTCGGACCACTGCTCCAGAGATGGCTACAAAGGCCCTTAACATTTCGTAGCAGGACTTGCCAGATACATCGAGCCGCCATTGGCGGAACAAGCGTCTCCAACCTTCAGCACTGCATCGCCACAAAGGCTGGGGTTGCCACCAGGTGTGCACTTGTATCTTCCATCGTCACTCCATTGTTTGCTGCAACAGCCGTTGGCGCAGTCGCTGTTTTGAGTGCAAAAGACCCAGTCAGCAAGCCGGTTGCCTGTGCACTGGCTGCCTCCAGGAGTGCACTTGTACTTGGTGTCATCACTCCACTCCTTGCTGCAGCAGCCGGAGCTGCACTCCTCATTCACAACACAGAAGTACCAGTCCCCCTTGAGCTGAGGCGAAGTACTCTCCAGCTCAGGCCAGGAGAAGACCGAAACCGTCTTCTGAGCAGCATCACTCTGCAAGGAGAAGCCGTCCCAGAAGTCACCCTCCGCCCAGAACTCGAAGTCCTTGTTGTTTTCCGGATGCATGAGCTCCCAGGGCATGAAGGGAACCCCAAGTTCGTTTGCCACTTGCAGGATGGGAATCATTTGCCTGGCCTTTTCTGCGTCTGTGCCATTGATACCGAACTCCTGCAGTCTCACCCTCTTGCCTTGGCTCACTGCCCAGGTGGCGGCGATCTCAGTAATCTTCTTGATGTCGCAAGCACTCGTGCTGTAAGTGTGGATGTCTACGACCTGGGAGCTTGTGAGAGCACAGAGCACTGAAAGCAGTTGCAAAACGACTCAACGCTGACCTCTTTGCGGAAAGGTCGCGTCGATCTCTGGGCAGACATACAGCTGCTGATACAACGCATCTTCAAGGTCGACAGACCCTCCTGTAGAAACGGCGATGCTGGGATGCATGTGGGCCTCGAGACAGCACAAAGAAAAAAGCTGGCAGCTGCTTACGGACCCACGCTATGAGAGGGAAAGCAGGACGATCGCATGCTACCTGTAACTTACCCTAAACCCCAAACCCCTAAACCCTAAACCCCTCAACCACTAAACTAAGCTGCCTTCATAGCTCGTGCCCGCCGACACCACCAGCCCTTGTCCACTGACCTCGGATCGGTACCCCAGAAGCCCAGCAGCAGTAAGTGACTTACATCTTCGCTAGAATCTAGTAGTCTTGGGGCCTTCAGACTAAGAGTAGGGTTTTGGGGCCCATTATACTATAGATATAATAAGGAACCCCCCAACAAATAGCATAGGTAATTATTTAGGCCCCTATAGTATTATTATTATGATTATTGTTGTTATTATTCCACGCCAAGCTGCCAGATGTGGCCCTGAGCTTCGTTCTGAGGCGCAAAAGAAGCAACGACCTGTCTGGGCTCGCTCGCCGCTCGAGATCTCGACACTACTTCCTTTAAGGGCTCCTTTGAAGGGATCCATAGGGATTCTATAAGGGCATAGGGTTTGGGTCTACTTGGAGGTTCTAGGGTCGTTATAAGTAGGGTTATAAGTCCCCTAATATGGGTTATAAGCATAGTTACCCTACTTATGACCCTACTTATAACTACCCATGAACCCTGAAGCCTATACCCTTATAGAATCCCTATAGATCCCTTTAAAAGGGCCCCTAAAAGCCCCTACTTATAACTACCCATGAACCTCCTAAAAGTACCTGAAGCAAAGGGAAACTGGCCTCATGTAGGTCGCCCCAGCTCTTCTTGAAGTGAGGGTTCCTGGTTGTGACGTGGAGGGAGCACCCATCGCAAGACGGTTTAGGGTTTAGGGTTTAGGGTTTGGGTTTAGGGACATGACGGGCAAGGTGCTTCCAAGCTTCCAGTGCTCCAGGATGTGCACGAGGCGCTCATCAAACTTCGCCTCGCGGAGGAGGAGGCACTAGCGGTATGATGTAGTAAGTGTAGCTATTCCCGGAAGCCCCCTGCTCTTGGTACTGACTGCGACCTGGATTTCTGGATCGGTGTAGAAGCGGTCCACTTGGTTCTTCGCAAAGACGCACTTGCAGCAGCCGCTGGGCAAGCTGTACTTAGCTACCTGGGAATGTGCGGAAGGTAGTTAGGGGCTTAATTGGGATCCTTGCAAGATGCAGTCTGGTGCTTTAGTCGGACCTCTGCAAAGACTCCGTCTGAGCTGAAAGCATCCCACAGGATCAGCCCAAAAGGAACTTTTCAAAAGGGCGAGCAACGTAGGCATCTTCCCTCCAACACCCCAAGGAATAGCGATCGTGAAGGGCAATGTCAAGCCTCGTCGCAGACTGTGGAAATGGACGGCATCACACACAAATACCACAAACGCATCAAACTCTGCACCGTAGCACCGAGCAGCTTGATTCCGCGCTCGTGTGCCTTGGGCAAAGATTCGCGAATCGACAACCCTTATTCTCGCATGCGAAAGCTGCAAACACAGCTCGCGCGGCAGACTGAGCGCTTCAGGCTGCTGCACCATGCGTGAGAAGCGAAGCTGAAGCACCGTGAAGCAGGACCTCCTACAGTGGCCTTCAACCTTCAGCCCCTAACCCCATACAAACATTAACCCTAAACCCTAAACCCTGCTAGACCCTAAACCCCAAACCAAAAAGGGAGGGGCCCAGGGCAAGGGAGCAGACCTGCCTCGAGCATCAAGTCGTCCACAAGGCTCAGGATCCGATCGTCGTAGGTGCCAACCTGCCGGGTCTCCAGGTCCTCGACTGCCTGAGGAGGGTTTAGGGGTTTAGGGGTTTAGGGTTTAGGATTTAGGGGTTTAGGGTTTAGGGGTTTAGGGTTTAGGGCGTGACAACACAGGAACCTCACAAGGACCAGGATTTCTAAATCAGGTTCTTTAAGGCTTTATGGTTTGAGAATCTTTGCGATTTGACGGGGCAGGCGGTGGCACATTCGCATGTCGATGGAGGGTTCGTGCTCGGAGGGTTTGCGCACAGCTCCGGGCAGCAGCGATTCGGATGCCAGCATCGAAACGATTCGGTTGGGAATCGCCCACGGTGATTTGGGGGTTCAAGCTAGCAGGGACTCTGAACACACGAACAGACGAATGAACGAAGGAACCACCAATGAACATCAAGCTCACTGCAGAGGAAGCCTCAAAAGGCCGGCGGAGGGGTTCGGGAAACCCTAAACCCTAAAGCCGAAACCCTAAACCCCCAAACCCCTAAACCCTAAACCCCAAACCCCTAAACCCTTAAACCCTAACCATCCCTAAACCCTAAACCCTGGAAGGAAAAGGGGAGTAGCGATGCGAAAACAATGGTAGGAAAAACGAGAAGACATGACGACGAAAACCTTAAGCCCTGGCAGGGGATAGAAAGTAGGCCAGGTCAACAACATGACAGCATGAGCCCAAACCATGATGAGCGATAACGGGTGCAAAAGCTACCACACTCTCAAAGTTGCTGAGTGGTAGAAACTGAACAGGAGTTGGAGATAGTTGGAGGGTAGGCAACTCGAGAGCACAAGAGGAGGACCTCAAACCTAAAACCCGGCCAAGTAGATAGCCGTAGAAGCCTGGAAACGAGTTGAGAGATGGGGGGAGGGACTTGAGCTGGTTGTGCTGCATGGGCTGGGCTGGTGGTTCAAAGGGTTTAAATCATACCAAATCTTCACCTGCCAGAGTTTCCAGTGCTTGAATTTGCTGCGTGCATTGAAGCGCGCCTGCTTGGATCAGGTTTGGGGTTGAATCGGCAATGCTCAAACCGGTAGCATACCAGAACCCGTAACCTCTTGTGATGGGATCGCGCGTGCTAAACTCGCAGGTGCTTAAGTTTGGGCAATGTGCCTGGGAGCCACTGTTCTTGTAATCTGCCGTGTTGGAGACAAGGAAGATTCGCAGCACTCGAAGCCCAGATTCCCTGAGGCCGGCAGATGGGGGGGGGGGGATGGGGTGATGCGCACAGGGACCCTGATATGGTACCCTAAATAGTAGGATCCTTACTAGAAAGGATCCCAAAGTAAGGTACCCCTAATTTTCGGAAACTCCCATACCCATGCCAGCCTCATGTGGTCCAGGTAGGCCGTGCGGCTACCCGGGCCTGGGACTATTCAGGGCCCAAGGAATCCCTCCGAACCCATACAACCAAGCCTGTGCTGGGCAATGCATGGGCAAAGAAGGAGTTCACTCCCGCCCAGTTGGCGCCAACATCTGCACCTTCGCAGGAGTTTGGGAGCCACTGTGCCGTAAAACCGCAAGCAAAAGTAAACAACATGTGCACTGTCATCCTCGGAATATGTCGGCTTTCCTACAGGCGGTCTCTGCAACCGTGGGTCAAGCAGAACTGCCTACCCAGTCAAGCCTTTGCCAGTCAGAAGAAGGCAGCCGAGAAAGCCCAGCACGACGCAGTGTAGGCGCAGGCTCGCCATATCCCTACGGTGCTAGGTTCACCAGCTCACTGGCAGCTACAGCCAAAAGCTACAAAGACAGTGCTTGGGGTTCAATGTGATGCAAGGGCAAGGGCAGTTGCAGGCCTGACTCCAAGGACGGCCGCGTGCTTTCTGCTCAATCCGCTGCTGCATCACAAATTTAACGCATGGCACACGCCCGCAGTTGCACGGAATTTAACAGGAGCTGGATCTTTGCAGCTCAAGCCACGCACACCTGCTTGCGGGCCGGCAGGGAGGAGCCAGGATCGACTTGACGGTCGACGGAAATGCCACGACTGTGGTTGTCTTCCGCCTGAACCAATTCATCAACATTCGTTGCTTGCACTGCACCACGCGGCTGGCATGGACTTCTGCTCTGGCCACGAGGATGAAACATCGAAGCTACCAGTAGCCTGCCTGCCCAGCTGGAGTAGCAGCATCGGATCTTCCAGCTGATAGGCCTGATAGGCAGTGTGAGGATGCCGATGGCGAGGGCGGTGGCCGCGACGGAGGTGGCGGCGCAGGTGGCGGCGGAGGCGGCGCCACCTCCAATTGGGCCACCAACGCAGTCTGTCGCATTGAAACGGGGGAGCGCGAGAGATACACCTTCCACTGGAGCAGCAGCCACTGGCGCAGTTGCCTTCTTCAGTACGGAAAAGGATGCCAACGCATAAGGAACAAAGGCAAGAAGAACCGCATCCCCAACACTCCCAAACTGGCGAAAACCCTTCGAGACACTCACAGTGCCAAGCTGCCATTTTCATAGCACGGCTGTCCATCCCGCGCAAGTGCCTCGCCACAGAGCCTTGGTGTACCGCCTGGTGTGCACTTGTACCGGCCATCGTCGCTGAGCTCCGAGCTGCAGCAACCGCTGGCGCACTCGCTGCTCTGAGTGCACCAGACCCAGTCGGCAAGCCGGTTGCCTGTGCACTGGCTACCTCCAGGCGTACACTTGTACTTCCTGTCGTCGCTCAACTCCTTGCTGCAGCAGCCGGAAGTGCATTCGGCGTTTACAACACAGAGCCGCCAGTCAGCCTTCAGCTGCATGCTGCTATTTGAGAGGTTCAGCTCCGGCCACGAAAAGACTGTGACGTTGTCCTGCGCAGCCTGGCTCAGGGCCGAAAGCCCACGCCACACCTCTCCGTCTGTCCAGAATTCGTAGTCCGTGGTGCTCTCTGGATGCACTAGCTGCCAAGGCATGAAGGGAATCCCGATCTCGCTTGCGGCATAGATCAGAGGGAATAGGGTCTTGGCCTTGCTTGCATCGTTCCCCTGCGCACCGAACTCCTGAAGTCGCACCCGCTTCTTTTGCGTCACTGCCCAAGTGACCGAGACCTGTGCCACCCCTCGAAGCCACTCGTCATCGTCGGTGTAGGTATGGATGTCCACGACCTCAGCTTCACCAACGTCCCAGCTTACACTGCTAGTGTAGCTCACAGTATGGGTATCATTGTATCATCGCGCTGCTAGCACTCTCGGCCGGGTCGCATCGATCTCCGGACACATGTAGAGCTGCTGATACAAAGCATCCAGAAGCCCGATTGAACCACCCGTCGAGATCGGTATGTCTGGGTGCATGTAGTCCTCGCCCAAAACAGAGTCAAACAATCGGGACTAGCTGAACTAACTTTACGACTAAGACTACGAAACGGAGGGTGCTGGTGATGATATACCATACTGATGACAGTGATGATAATGGTGATGGCGGTGATGATGACGCTGGTCATGACGATGATGAGGATGATGCTGATGCCGATGGTGATGGTGACGGTGATACGAGGAGGACGATGATGAGGATGATGACGACGACATATGACGATGACGGCGATGATGCTGATGCTCGTAATCATCATCATCATCACGATAGTCAGGAGGCGGCGGCGGAGGAGGATGACGGTGACGACGATGATGATGTGGTGGAGAAGGATGATTACGACGACGACTACGATGGCGACTACTACGGCGACTGCATCGCGGCCGACGACGACGACTCCAGCCGCTGCTGCTGGCACTGGTGCTTGTATCACCACCAGCCTGCTGCCAAGTTGTCTGACGGGAACCAGACTATGAAACCAAACTCCGGAACACAACAGTTCGGGCCTTCATGACCTGCGCTCGGCGGCACCACCAACCTTTGTCCACGAGCCTGGCGGCCAGCAGCCCTATCACGACTCTTACCACGACTGCGGAAACTACCTCTACGGGGTTGTTGCTTGTGCGAGTAGCAATAGGCCAATAGGCATGTTCCTAACCCCGAACAAGGAGAAGCTGGATGTGAAGAAGACTATACTAGCTGTCGAGCCAGCGAAGCAAAGGCAGTTCTGTCCGGCCGGATGGCAGCTCGAACTGTGAACGCAACACTGTGATGCCCACGTGGTCGGTTACGCGATGCTTCGAGTTGAACTATGGTTTGGCAAACAGTGCAGTACATGCTGAACTCTTCGCCCTAGACAAACTTCATATCATGCGCCCAGAAATGGCCCAAGGGGACATGTTGCTGAGGGCTTGGCTCGTCATGGCCTTGAGCTTCGTTCTCAGGGGCGAAAGACGCAACAACCTCCAAGCGAGCTTCATCTTGTCATTACCAGTTTTGGAGCCCATTATACTAAAATTATAATAAGGAATCCCCAAAATAATATAGGCAATTAATAAGGCCCCTATAGCAGACTGATACAAGTGGTCCTTACCAAGTTTGCAGCGTTTCTCCGCTCGAGTGCACGGAGAGCAAAGGGGCTTCATTCTGGGCTCGATGCAGTCTACACCCGAATCAACGAGGCTCCCGGCGTGCGGCTTTGGGTTTCCCAGCTCAAACTCTGAAAGGCTCTCTGAACTCGCAAAACTTAAATATGCCCAAATGCCAAACGCGCGGAGCGAGCCTGGTGCAGCTGACCCCAGGGCGCGTTGAAGTGCGGGTTCCTGGGCCCCAGACTTTCGAAGTTCAGGTTCCTGGTTTTTGGCGCTCCCCGCTGTTCTCAGAAGTGGTCTCCGACTATAGGAAAGCGCTGCCGAACTCGTGGGAAGTAGGGCGGCTGCAAGTTACGGTGGTTATTTTCGGGGTCTGGAATCATGATCAGGCTGGCTGAGACAAGGGAGACAAGGAAAGGCTTTCTGAGGGGCAGCAGCTCACTGAACGAGCGGCCTGTGCTGCAAGATGTGCTGCAAGCGCGCATCGAAGGCAACCTTCCCAGGAGTCTCTCCAGTCTCTACCGACATGATCTTAGAAGGACATGCAGGAGTGTCTGGAGGGCGTGTGAAAAATCGAGTCGCCTGGATCTCAGGCTCCGTGTAGAAACGATCCACTTGATTCTTGCTCACGGTGCAGTTGCAGCAGCCACTCGGCAGGTCATAAGTTGTGACCTGAGATCACCACGCAAGCTTCTAAGCCACTCAACAGCACGCTCTTCCGGTACCAAGAAACATAGGCATCCGTCCGCCAGCAGCCCAGCGAGTAGCGGTCGTGCAGTGCGATGTCCAGCCTTAAAGCCGAATGCACATGGCATGGTCATGCCATCCTCCCTACTTAGAGGCCCAGGAACCTTAGTAAGTAGGGTATAAGTAGGGTTATAATTGAGGTATCTCCATTTACGGTTCTTATATAACCCTACTTATAACCTACTTACTAAGTCCCCTGGGCCTCTAAGTAACAAAGCTGAAAAGGGTGGTTGTCAAAATTAGGGTCCCTTGTTGGGTCCTTATCGTAATACGGCACCTAATATTTAGGGTACCCAAAAAGGGACCATAATTTTGACAACTACCCAAAGAGCGGGGGTTTAAGAATCCTGGGGTAGGGATTCCTTAATATGAACCCTATTATGGGAGCCCTAATACCTACTAAACCCCCATAGGCTAAAACCCCTTTTGGCCTCCTATGAAAAAGAGCTCTCTCTTCCGCCCCGGACCCGAGCGGCTTGATGCCACGCTCGTAGGCCTGGCACCAAAAACCGCCACAGCGAAGGCCCGGAAACAGTAGAGCTAAGGAGCCCCCATAACAATTAGAATAGGGTTTCGGGCCCCATTATATAATAATCATAATAATAATAGTAATAGTAATAGTAATAGTAATAGTAATAATCATAATAATAATAATAATAATGGTAATAATAACAAGGAGCCCCCAAAATAATTAGAATAGGGTTTTGAGGCCCAGGCCCAGTATACTATAATTATAGTAAGGAGCCCCCAAAATAGTTAGAATAGTGTTTTGAGGCCCATTATACTATATTTACATTAAGGAGCCCCCAAAATAGTAGAGGTATATTATGCTATAATTAGAATAGGGAGCCCCAAAAATCGTACCGATAAAGCAGCTCCGGGCCTCGAGCATGAGGTCGTCCACTAAGGAGAGGATGCGGTCGTCGTAGGAGCCCACCTTCTTGGTCTCGATGTCATCCACGGCCTCTGTGGCTCAGAGGGGCCCAATATAGGGGTCGAATAGGGCTTTGGGGCCCCTTAGACTGTAACTGCAATAAGGAACACCCAAGATGGTATTGGTAATCATTAAGGCCCGTATATTATGCTACCGCTGGGCCAGAAGTCACCTGCCTGGGAGCCGCTGTATTTGTAGTTCGCCTCCGTTGCACTGATGAAGATGCGCAGAACACGAAGCCCGGCGTCCCTGGACAGTATTGGCTTTAGGGTTTGGGGTTTAGGGTATGTCAGTGCAGTGACATGCAGTTTGAGGCAGAACAACTTGAGGGGCTCCCTGCCTGATCTTGTCAAGGTAGGCTGTGCGGCTGTAAGGACCTGCGTGCTTGCTGGCAGACACGGCGACGTCGGCAGTCAAGTGGCCGGGCAGCAGGTCCAAACACGAGCACTCAGCAAGGCCTGCCTGAACTTGGCAGTGCATGCGCGAAGAAGGAGTTCACCCCGGCCCAATTCGGCCCGAGCTCGGTACCTGCAGGTGTGTTTTCGCTTCAAACTCGTGTGGGCGGGCCATTTGTTCAATGTCCCCAGCCTTGCGCAGCTGTCACCGCCACGGCCAGAAGAACGCACAGCCGCCCCCACATGGCTCGCCACATCCCGGCTTGAACATCGGAGGGAGAGAGGCTCTTTCCTTCGGCCGGACCGCTGCGAATGGCCTCTCTCTGACCCTTCCCCGGTGCTTTAGGCAATTCTGTCAAGCCTTGCATGGCGATGCCAAGTTAGGGGCAGTCCTCTCTCAGCACAACACTGTAGCTGCTTGAGGCGCCAGCCATGTCAGCTGCAGCGCGCGAACGGGAGGCTGCCCCCTGCAGCGCCGGGCCGGGAAGCGCACTTTAAGGCGGACGCAGATTGAGTGGCGGGCCCATGCGAGCCCTGCAGGCCCCTTGCCTCGAAAGCTTGGAGGCCGGCTTGCAGCAGCCGCAAATTCTCGTTGCGCTCCTGGCTTTAGGCTCGAGCCTTTGCCAAACTGCCCACGGGAACGGGAGAGGCTTGCCTTGCGCTGGAAGTGGGACTGCAGCAGCCGGCGACTCCTCTGAGCCTGAGCCTGGACCAGTGCTGCGGGGGCTTTCATGATTAGAATAATAATAAGGTTCTGGGCTATGTTATACTGTAATTATAGTAAGGAACCCTAAAATAGTATAGGTAATTATTCAGGCCCCAATATTACAGAGACTTGCTAGGCTGCTCATCCACTCGTGGTCAAGCAGGCAGACTCACTAGACTCCTAATTAACCACCAATGCTTGTGCCAGGAATGGCAACGCACACAGAACATCTCGCAGCACCTCCATTTGCATCTCTAGCTGGTGCTCCTTCAACACTTCCTGTCGTGTGGTCACACGAGCTCTCTCTCTGTGCCAAAGCCCCAGGCCCCAGTCCTTTCGGAATCCGATCACAGGAGCCCTCCCACCTCGAGCCTCGAGGAGGTCCCCGAGCGGCCGGCGAATGTTGTCGACGAGCACGCGCTGCAGACGGATCGCAGGGAAGCGCCCAAGAAATGAACAACAAGCACAGCTTCCGAAGGCACACCAGTGCAAGTCATTCTGAAAGAAGGCTCCTCAGGAAAACCGCAAAACCGCAAGCAGATGTGCCTTCCAAGGCGACTCCGTTCGGATCTTGGGCAGAAGCGATGCAACACAATGCAATGCATCTATCTCTTTCCCGAACACTGAGTAGGGACATCACACGGACGACGTCGACCGAGGCACTTTTCTTTCTTGGGTCGGCACCCGATGCACTCGACGGCCACCCAAGAACCCTTCAGGCACAAGGCTCAGGCATAAGACAACCACACAGCCAGGAGGGAAAAACAAGCTGCAGCTGGTCTGTTCGACAGCTCGGTCTCCGGCAGATTCCCGAAGTCTCCATGGTTGCGGAACTGGCCAAGTGCGGGTACTCCTGGCAGGGTTGAACTTTTCAGACAGAGCCAAGCAAACAGAGAAGTTGATGGCACACCCTGCCATAGGCGTTTCCTGGAGGAACTCGGCCATGATGTGGTCGAGGTCCTGCTCCCTCTGATCCCTTTGCAGGTTTGACGCGGCTTGAGGCTTAGGTCTTTCCTTGGAGAGAGCTTGCACTCAAAAGTTGCAGTCTTTGTGGGAGCTACAGCAGAGTACTGGGTCGGTCTGCTGGATGCATGTGCTTCCTCCTTCATCGCAACTTGGGTGTTCGACGGGGACACTCAAAGGCAGAAAGATGACTGCACCTTGTTCACCCTTGGTTCCTCCACAACTTGCATCTCGTGGAGAAAAAAACCTGCCTTCGAGTCTCCGTCCGTGTCAGTGACGATGTGCCGGAGAAAAGCGAAGTGACCTCGTCTCGAGTAGCGCGAGTGAGAAACGGCGGTAGCTTGCAGGGCGCAAGATACAACCAACAAATCCACAAGCAATCCAGAAGCTCTGGAGATGTGCGTGCGGGTCTTCACTGTTTGCAGTACACATACTCTATACAAGTATACATACTTTCACTTTCCTCGTTGCCAAAGATCCAGCTTCAGCTAACGCACCTGAGGACAGATTCTAGAATCCGGCACCTAGGTGCTGCACATGTGTGCATCCTCATCGCAGACTGTTCAGGCTCCCGGCACTAGTGCCCAAAGCGGAGCCGGTCACAGGCACTTCACATAGTAGAATATATAAAAGTCGTTAGCCATGGCTTCCGCGTCCGCACGACTAATCTGGATGAAGTATACATACATGCATGCATACATACATACAAACATACATACATACGAAGACAGACAGAGACAGACACAGAGAAACACAGACAGAGACACAGAGACACAGAGACAGAGGAAGAGACAGAGACACACAGACAGAGACAGACAGAAAGACAGACAGACAGACAGACGGAGATAGCGATGTATACTAACACATATACAGTAAGTGCATGTGTATGTGTATACATATGTGTATATATATATATATATATATATATATATATGTATATATATATATATATATATCTGTGTGTGTTCTACCGTGCATATAATGCACATGTACATCTACCTGTATATAAATATATATATGCATATATATGTACATACATACGTTGTCGATTGCTTATTTACTTCTATGTGAGTGTGTGTGTGTGTGTGTGCGCCATAAATATGTACATTGTACATTAAAGCAGTACAGACTGAATACTCTGTGTATACACATACATACATATGTATATACATATATAGACACCGATAAATATACGTGCAGCACACAAAGAGAGGCAGAAAGCAAGAGAGACATCAATAGACCAAGAGGGAAAAAAAGCTGGAGAGGGAAAGGGAGAAAGACAGAAAGACAGGGAGACAGGGACACGGAGAGACAGAGAGACAGACAGAGACACAGAGAGACAGAGAGACAAAGAGACAGAGAGGCAGAGAGACAAAGAGACAGCGAGACAGAGAGACAGAGAGGCAGAGAGACAGAGAGACAGAGAGACAGAGAGGCAGAGAGACAGAGAGACAGAGAGAGAGCGAGAGCGAGAAAGCGAGAGCGAGAAAGCGAGAGCGAGTGAGAGCGTCGGTGGGTCGGTGTGTCGGTGTGTCTGTGTGCCTGTGTGTCTGTGTGTCCGTGCGTCCGTGCGTCTGTGCGTCTGTGTGTCTGTGTGTCTGTGTTTGTGTACCCGTGTATCTCTGTGACTGCGTGCGTGCGTTGAGACCCCAGCCGGCCTCGAAAATGCACTATGGCAGCAACTCGCAAACGCAATTGGGGAGAACCCACAAAGCACGACAGCCTCGAGACAAAGTCTGGAGGCCCGGCACTAGGGGTTGGGCTCCGATTCCTGAGATTCAGCGAGCTTTACATGCGATTTTCTAACCACCAGTTCTGGAATCTTGACACCCACTGCTCTCTCTGCTCTTGTGAAGACAACGAGTCCTGCTGGCCTCTGTAACTTCCTTTTCCTTCCTTTCCGTGACCTAGACCTAGATGCCGCTGGGTGCTGGGCCCATGCGCCATCTCTCGAAACCGCGACCGCGGGGCCTTGGCTCCCGGATTCAGGGAACTTTGCAGGCTTAGGGCTTTCAAGCTGGCCGGCATGATTGTTTCTTCAAGAGGCATCGGTCTTCGGGTTTCTCACAGCGGCCTGGCCGTGAACAAAGGCGGATGGCTTTTGGCCATAGGGGCCACGGGTGACACGCTAAGCTGCACAACCAGGCCTCCTATAGAAGCCATCACAAAAGCACATGCTGCACTTACTCTGGGCATTAAATTAAAGGGGTACCTCTCATTTTCGGCTCGACCTGGCACTGAGGACCTGACCTGGGCCACTGCTGCCATGGCGGCAACCGTAGCGGAGGCACAAGGTCAAACTTTGAGACAGGTCAGATGCTTGATACTCATATACTCATAATCAGAACAGCAATACGAACAACAAAAAATTCAATGATAAAAACAGTAATCATGTAGTAGTAAAAACAAAGAGTGAGTAATAATCATCGTCAAGCGCGCTGCGATCCATAGCATGGTCTGTGCATCTTTTCCAGACGGACTTCCCTGTCAGTCTGGGGCTATCGAGGTTGTTCCAGTCCCGGGAGCTGTGGTTTCTGCTGTGCCAAGGACGATGCTGTGAGGTTAGCCGAGGCCGAGGCCATGGGTGTAGCTTAACTCCCAGTCTGCTTGCCACTTGCCATGTCTGTGCTGCTGCAGGCGAGTGCACACATGGGGGCAGCAGATACGCAGGTGGCAGATCCTATCCTTTGATGCACTCAGAACAACCAAGTACGGATGCCTGAAGAAAACAGCAGGCTACTGGGATCTGTGAACAACAACTACTAGGCTACGGCTGATGGAATCGCTGATCCTCGGACACCTGTAAGCCCAGATCCATCTCAGACTGTCCCCTCATACACCGAAACCCCGCTGAGGGCTGGGGTACACCTCAATGGTGTTCCGGATGAAGGCCGTGAGACCCGGGGCTGGGAGCGAAAGGGGGCCGTTGGTCTTGCCCATGGCGGCCTGGCAGCGCTTCATACGTTTACGAAGTTTACGACAGACAAAGACAAGGACCAGGAGGGTAACAGCTTTTAATACGGCTTTCTCAAGCTACTGCTACTGATGGCAATGCTGTTGATATGTCACTACGACTTTTTCGTCGTTAGCGCAACGACGACAACTACCACTAGTGCTGCTGACACTGCCACCAGACTACGACAGTGAATGTCACGACGATGCCGACGACGACGTGTGCGACGGTGGCGGTGTTGATAGCATCGATGAGGATGACGACCAGGACGAGCAGCGCGACGACTACGACTACGAAAACTACTGACTCCGACTCCGACTCCCCTGCCCCTCCTCCTTCATACGTACTACTGCTGCTTATTTCTACTGTTTTCTACTTCTACAACTGCTGCTACCAGCCAGTACTACTACCACCACCACCACCACCTACCCTTACCACCGCCTCCACGTCCATGTCCACTCTATCACTACCACAACTACCACCACTGTCACTACCGCCGCCAATGCCACTGCCACGACCGTACTTGTGCTAATACGACGATGGCCACGACTACGACGACGACAAACGCCACTAGCACGCATCTTTGGACTCACAAGCGTGTTTTTGTGGTGGTGTTGAGATTGAAGTTAATATCAATATTTGTACCAAATAGTACGACCTGCTACAAATACTCAGAAACACTCTCGTAAGAAAGCTGTTGTTTGAGATATTGTTCCCAGGAGCACCACTATCACGCGGCACCCGAACAGTTGCTGCTGAAAGTCCATTGCTTTCACACTGATTATCATTCGTCACGTTTGCTGACCAATATAACTTTGCTGTCGTCGGCCATTGCTTCACCCTAGAACACCACCATTTTGCCGAGACCCCAGACAAAAAACCTGCACATGTCGGGCGTGCAGCTACGTAGTTCCCGGTACCGTCATCCAGGACACCGACCGCCACCTGAGCAAGAACATGTGGCCGCGGTTTTAAGACCACCATTCACACGTCGTCACTGGGGGTGGTGCGTCGTAGGTGTCGGCCTGACCTTATTCGAAGGAACCGATCGAGGGGGGACCGGACCGACACTGAGAAACTGCGACTTCCACACGGAAGAGACGAAGTCGCGTTTTGCGGAGTTTCATGGCTTCTGATGTCCTGAGCCTCACACACCGTGTGCGGTCTGCCTGTCCTTGCACCAGCTTCACCTCGGCAGGAGCAAGAGAGCCTGCTGCACCTCTTTTCACGCCCACAGGCTCAGAGTGTGACCGCCGGTGCAGAGTGATCGTTACCAATCCTGGCAACTTGCGCACATCCAGATGCGCACACAGCCAACGGCATGCACCTTGTGGAAACCTTGGCCTCCTTGCATGTACTGCACTCAAGGGCAAAGTGGCGTGAAGCGCAGAGGGGACAACGGAACCAGCAATCGGTGGCAGTTGGACTGGACGCCGTTGGTTCCGATTTCGATGTTCCGGTAGAGGAGGGCTGCACAAGCCTGCGAAGCAAAGGGCCAGTGCTTCGGTCAAGCGAGGCTACAACGCACACTCGATCCTCAAACCCCAAGGCTTCGGAATCGCCTGTACTTCTGACGCTCCAGACGTCGGAACTGCCTCGTGCAGGAGAGATGAGAGATGATCATTACTCAGTCATTTCGACCGATTGAGCCGCCAAAGACGAGTCCGTCCTCGGCGCCTCTCTGGTGCGTGAATTGCAGCGTAGAGAACTGGGGCCTCAACGACTTGCAAAAGGCAGGCAAAACCAGCGGCTTTGGCGGAGTGGGGCACGCAGGCATCCATGGTTTGGTCCAGGCCGTCTGTGGCACTTTGAGGACCCCACCATTGCCAATCTGCCCCTAGGGGAACCAGAAGTCGGCGAGCGTGCCTGGAAGAGGGGATCTGAAAGCTCGGGTTTAGACGGCCAAAACTGAATGCGGTTCTGTCCAATCTCTGTGAGGACAGGAACTCAAGTACTTGAAACACCACTCCACTTCCCCGCAGCCTCTCCCCCGCACGGAGTGCAGACTCCCTGGGTTTCGCGAAAAGCGCAGACCTTCGCACAAAGAGCATCGAGGTGTGGGTATAGGGGTGTTGGGCATGTCAGCCATCTTGTTCTGTGGCTTGGTCTGACACCCTGTCATGTTCAGGTTCAAGGCGCCGGGGTAGTTTGGGAACCGGGGAGGCTACCGTTCCTCCCGGTTCTGCTATGTCCTGCTCCTGATTCACCACTTTGTGGCAACTTTGACCCTGATGCCCTGAACTCCTCATCCCGAAAGCCCGTGAAGTCAAAGAGACTCAGGTCCCCCGCGAGCCCAAGCAAAGAGCAAGAGGCTCTTCGATCCCAAAGCCAAAACCCACAAACTTGATCCCTTAAAGTACCCTTATGGATCCCTTTAAAGGAGCCCTTATAGTAGCCTTATGAATCTCTTTAAAGGAGCCCTTAAAGTACCCTTATGGATCCCTTTAAAGAAGCCCTTATAAGACCCCAAAACCCCAAAACTCCAAGCTTGAGCAAGAGCGACTTCACCGAGGAGCGAGACCCTCCGACCTGGCCTGAAGCCCTCCGTCAGATTCCCGGAGGTGCTTGCCTGCTTGGGGGGTCGGGGGACTTAGTAAGTAGTTAGTAAGTAGGCTTATAAGTACCCGAAAAGGGAACCTAATTGGGGTAATGGTACTTATAAGTCCCTAAAATAACCAGTTACTAAGTCCCCCGACCCTCCAAGTGGAAGCAAAGATTCCAAGGGGCCTCAATAGTCAAAAATAATGCTAGTTTGGTTTTGGGGGGTTCCTTATTAAAATCCGCCGAGGCCACAGGCCCAGGCGTCTTGGGAGTTACCTCAGGTTCCCTCCACCTAATCCTCCTCCCTGCAGTCCGAAAGTTTGGAGACACCCTGTTTTTGCGTTCGGTTGCCACCCCTTGCCCGGCCCTCCCCCCCTCCCTCCTCTCCCCCACCCCCCTCCGCGTTAAAATCAAAATATTTTGGGGTTTCCTTATATTTATAGTATGTTCTTTATTATAATTATTGTTTTTTGGGGTTCCTTACTATAATTATAGTAAAATGGGCCCCAAAACCCTATTCTAACTATTAAGGAGCTTGCAACACAATTACCGTGGCCCTGTGCTTCGCTACAAGTTGTCTGGCAACAAACTCGAGTGCGAATTCGCAAAAGGCATCAACCTCTAGTGTAAGAAAGTAGGCTGCATGCTTCCTCGGCGTGCGAAAATAGGCTTACAAGCACTGTCTTATTGTCACACTTGGGCTCAGGCATTGCTAAAAGCGGCGGTCACGACCTGTGCCTCAGCAAGGGCAGTTCGCGATGCTTCTCTAAGGGTATGTCTGGGTGGTAGAAATTCCAGCACGCCCGCGCACCCTCCGTCAGTCAGGGATAACTGCTCTTTCGCATCGGGACAACAACGGACCCTCCGATTAGAGGTGTCAGAACTTGGGTTGTCATCACGGAGAGTCGGTCAACGTCAATACCAGTACCACGCAAGCACCGACTGGAAAGAACAGCAATGTCTTATAACTCCACCACGCCCGTGCACCCTCCGTCAGTCAGGGATAACTGCTCTTTCGCATCGGGACAACAATGGACCCTCCGACTAGAGGTGTCAGAACTTGGGTTGTCATCACGGAGAGTCAACTTCAATACCAGTACCCTGCAAGCACCGACTGGAAAGAACAACAATGCCTTACAACTCCACCACGCCCGTGCACCCTCCGTCAGTCAGGGATAACTGCTCTTTCGCATCGGGACGACAACGGACCCTCCGATTAGAGGTGTCAGAACTTGGGTTGTCATCACGGAGTGTCGGTCAACTTCAATACCGATACCACGCAAGGTCCGACTGGAAGAACGACAATGCCATACAACTCCACCACGCCCGTGCACCCTCCGTCAGTCAGGGATAACTGCTCTTTCGCATCGGGACGGCAATGGACCCTCCGATTAGAGGTGTCAGAACTTGGGTTGTCATCACGGAGAGTCGGTCCACTTCAATACCGATACCACGCAAGGTCCGACTGGAAGAACGACAATGCCTTACAACTCCATCGCGCCCGTGCACCCTCCGTCAGTCAGGGATAACTGCTCTTTCGCATCGGGACAACAACGGACCCTCCGATTAGAGGTGTCAGAACTTGGGTTGTCATCACGGAGAGTCGGTCCACTTCAATACCAGTACCACGCAAGGTCCGACTGGAAGAACGACAATGCCTTACAACTCCACCACGCCCGTGCACCCTCCGTCAGTCAGGGATAACTGCTCTTTCGCATCGGGACAACAATGGACCCTCCGATTAGAGGTGTCAGAACTTGGGTTGTCATCACGG